CTTCTGCACTCGGCACACTGTGCCGTTCGTTCTCCTCTTTCTCTTGAGACACTGAGATGTGGGTCACGTGCTAAGAATGCGAGGCTCTCCACGTGCAGCCATACCGCATTCCTCGGGCACAGCGGTTGCCATGTTCTGAGTCCCGAACGACGTCCCCCCTGAGAGGTGATCCATCGCCCGTGACGCACCCTCCTGCCCTCCGGGGCCTTGGCCCACATTGGGGACCACAGAGCGAGCCATGTGCGTGTGGGTGGCTCTCCCTGTTTTTCATCCGGCGTGGGCGAGGTCCTGCAGCACAGGCCTCCCGCGTCTGGCCCTTTCGGCGCGCGCGACGTTGTCGTCTGCGTGGAAAGCATTTCCGGACACGTCTGTGTCATGGCACGTGTGCAGGTCGCCCCTGTCCGTGGCCCAGCAGCACCCCATCGTGTGGACGAAGCCCGTGATGTCCTGTCCAGGCGCTCGTCGGCGGGGGGCGCCGGGTCATCTCCGACGGGGGGCGGGGGGGACGGACATGGGGGGTGAGGGCCGTGCTCCCGTGACCATCGTAGCGGGCGCGTCAGGGTGCCCCGCGCTCGATGTGGTTTCCGTACCCATGACTTGCGGCATTTCCGATGCGGGCCGCCCCAGGTGTTTGTGTCCTGGGGGGACGGGTGGTGTGCGGGCCCCTCCGCCTCGGGAGGATCTATGAGTCAGCGTGGGCGTCCGTGTGGGGTAGAGGCCAGACTGCCGGTCTTCGTGCGGGGTCCTGAGCGTGGTGACAAAATGCGCACAGAGTTGTGGAGCCTGGTTGCGGGGAGCCACCTGGGATGACGGGCGAGCTGAGAGGAGCTGAGGCCGTTGGGTCTTGTGGCCGCTCAGGAGTCACCGGGTGGACGCATGGCAAGCCCGGGCGCATAAGCAGACATGCCTGCCTTCCCTCCAGCGAGTGGGAGAAGACGGCCATGCCTGGGCCGGAGGTGGTGGGGACGGGGCTGTGGTCTCGAGGCACAGCCCCCTGCGGCTGAGCTCAGCTCTATCACCGGGCCTGTGGCCCCTGCCCAGGCATCGAGGCAGTCGTGCGTGAACAGACGGGCTCAGCGCTGTGGGGCCCGCCCGGGCGGGTCTCAGAAACCCCCCTGCCCAGGGCAGCCAGGCTGAGGGCGCCATGGCCGGGATCATGGCCTGCTCTCTGCTCTGCAGGGCCCAGTGGGTCAGTCCTGGCGGGGGGGGGGGGGGAGGGACGAGCCCACGGAGCCCCTCTGTGCCACGGGCCACCCTGCTCCCCCCTCGTCTGCCCCAGGAGGCTGCGGAGGAGGTGACGCGGCATGTCCACTCCCTGTCGGGCAAGAAGGACGGGCTGGTGCCCATGTTCATCAACACGCACAGCGGCCTCTTCACGCACATGGGCGTGTTCACTCTGGGAGCCAGGGCCGACAGCTACTACGAGTACCTGCTGAAGCAGTGGATCCAGGGTGGAAAGCAGGAGACGCAGTGAGGCCGGTTTTTGCTGCCTTGGGGTGGGGTCCCCACGCCCCCTGATCCCCAGTCCTTGGCCAGGCAGCCGCAGCCATGCCGGCCCAGCCTCGGCCCCCCCACCTCGGGAACGTGTTTCTTCCAACCATGGCCTTTGTGCCGAGGATGAGGAGGAGGGGGCCTGGGGCCTGCCTGGTATGCGCTGAGGGGGCCCCCTGTCTGCTCAGGTTGTTAGAAGACTACCTGGAAGCCATCGAGGGAATCAGAAGGCATCTGCTGCGCAGGTCTGAGCCCAGAAAGCTCACCTTCGTGGGGGAGCTGGCCCACGGCCGCTTCAGCGCCAAGATGGTGAGCACGTGCGTGACCCGGGGAGGGCGGGGGACCTTGGACTCCCATCGGACAGCTTTGTGAGTCAGGACATTGCAGAGAGCGATGGCAGCCCAGCCGTGGAGCGTGAGTTCTCCCGGTTCGGGTCCGCTTGCGTCGGGTCCAGGCAGGGCTGCGTGGTCCGGACCCGTTCCCGTGACAACAGCAGGGCGCAGTCACAGGGGCACTGAGGTCCGCAGTGGGCACCAGGCCCCTCCCCCAGGGCCCTCCCCGTGCCTCTCCGTGTCCCCTCTGCCCTGGGGTCACTGCTGGTCTCCTACTATGGGTCCCGCTGAAGCCCGGGGGTGTCTGGGGTCGGGGTCGGTTCAGGGGAGCCAGCCGCTACCTCCCCGCCCCCCCGCCCCCCGCTTCCCCGCTCACGTAGAGCGCCAGATGCTGGGCCTGCGGGGAGTCCCTTGCCCGTGTGGAACCGAGGCAGCGCCAGCCCTGCTGTCGGCGCCACGCCCCCTGCCCTGTGCGGCCACAGACTCCGCAGTGGTGAGGACCTGCTCTGATTTCAGGACCACCTGGTATGCTTCCTGCCAGGGACGCTGGCTCTGGGCGCCCACCACGGCCTGCCCGCCGACCACATGGAGCTGGCCCGGGCGCTCATGGACACCTGCTACCAGATGAACCGTCAGATGGAGACGGGGCTGAGCCCCGAAATCGTGCACTTCAACCTGTACCCCCAGAACGACCACAAAGACGTGCAAGTCAAGGTGAGCAGGGCCGGGGTGTGGGGGCGGCTGGGGGCCTGGCCTGAGCTCAGCCCGCATTTCCCTCCGCCCCCCCGGCCCCACAGCCGGCCGACAGGCACAACCTGCTGCGGCCCGAGACGGTGGAGAGCCTGTTCTACTTGTACCGCCTCACGGGGGACCGCAAGTACCAGGACTGGGGCTGGGAAATTCTGCAGAGCTTCAACACGTACACGCGGGTGAGCTGCCTGCCGGCCATGTGGCCCAGAGCGGCTGGGACTGGGAGGGCAGGCACCGTGACCTCGGGAGTTCAGGGCACGTGGGACCCAGGGTCTTGGGGGCTGGGGCGTCCCGAGGGGCTTGCTTGTGTGGGGAGGGCGCCTGCGGCGGCCTGGTATACACGGGGCGCATCCTCCCCGGATATTCCGTGTGGCCTGGACAGCCCTCCTCCACCCCGGGATGAGCTCAGGGGCCCTGCTCCCCAGATGGCACTGGGACCGTGGCGCCTCTCGTCCTGCCATCGGGGCCATGGCTCAGACACGGTCATGCCCTGTCCAGGGCCCACCACCTGCCCTGCAGAGCCAAAGCTTGTCCTTTGCCCTGTGGTGTGGGAGGCGGTGGGTTCTGGGCTCCTCGGGTGCCCTTGGGAGGTGGCGCTTGCCATCGGGTCACTCGAGAGGAGCTGGCATCTCCGAGGGGGTGTCTGGAGGCCCCGTGGCCAACTGGCTCCACTGAGGGGGGCCAGTTCCCTGGTGGACCTTGGGGTCCCCCGACCCCGACCCTGCCCTGGCCCGCGTAGGGCACACTGCGGTGAGGCAGGGAGACTTGGGGTGGGGTTCCTCTGGTTGCCGGGGCCTCACCCCCGGGCCGAGGCTGGCTCGGGGAGCTGCCTGTGCCTGCAGCCGTGATGCCATGGTCTTGCCTCTTGCGCAGGTCCCCTCGGGTGGCTACTCCTCCATCAGCAACGTCCAGGATCCCCTCAATCCCCAGCCCAGGGACAAGATGGAGAGCTTTTTTCTGGGGGAGACGCTTAAGTACCTGTATCTGCTCTTCTCTGATGACCCAGACCTGCTCAGCCTGGACACCTATGTGTTCAACACGGAGGCTCACCCCTTGCCCATCTGGGCCCCGCCTAGGGAGGTGTGATGCCCTTGTGGGCCTTGCCTAGGGTTCTCATTTGTCTTGTTTTTGTGGCACCTGTTCAGGATATCCCTGGTCATATTTTGGTCCAGTGTCCTGGGCCTTGGCCCTTTTGTCCACCTAGCTGGAGCCTGTGGCCCAGGCCAGGCTGAGGACAGAACCCAGCATTCCTTAGCTGCAGTGTCTCAGGGCCTGAGGTGGTCAGGGCTGTTGGCTTCTCGTCCTGGTGGCTTCTTGTCACAGCTGTGTTCTAGGGTCATCGCCATTCAGCCCGTCCACCAGGCAGTCTCCTGCTTTCGAAGAAACTGGAATCATACGTACATTCCTGGTACCCACACGTCTTTCCGTCCCGTCGGTGCCCAGCCCCGTGTCCACATCCCTGCATCTTTGGGGCTGTTCTGGGTACCCCCATCCTGTTCAGAGACAAGAGCTAAAGGGATGTCCTGACATGGGGCTCAGCCTGGAGTCTCAGAGCTTGCTTGTGTGCTGGCCCGAGGGTCTTGGGGCACCTGCGGGCTGTGGTGTTTACACATTGGACTCAGGGATCCTCTCCCAGCCCTGCAGGGGCCGGGAGTGGGAGGGGGGTGGTTCCTTCTGCTCCTGGACCACCCCAGAGAATGGACTTCCCAGGCAGCATAAAAATAGATTGCTATGACAGTCATGTGTGGAGACTCTGTGTTTCCTCAGCTGTGATGGGGGGCATCTAGGCCCCCATCCAGGCCGCGCTATGTGTCCACTGGGGTCAGAAATCCCCTGGGGCAGGCAGGTCGCACACCCTGGAGGGAGTACCTGCCTTCCTGTGAGGATTTCTGCACCCTGGGACCCATCTCTGCAGGTGGGGGTGCCCATCCTCAGTGGAGCCTGCCACTTCACTTGAGCCCTGACATGGGTCACTCCTTAGACACACCTCAGCTGCCAGGGGGTACCAGGTGGTCTCCAAGGTAGGCCCCGCTCTTCTCGTGTGACACCCCTGAGCAGCCCATTGCCTTTGTCATGTCTAGAAGACATGCTTCTCCGAGTCGCTAGGGCTTCTCCAGCTGGTGCACACTGCCTATGTGGAGGCCAGGGCTCCCTGTGTCCTGCACAGAGGTTCCTGGAACAGGATGCAGGGCTGTCTCCAGGTGGGCTAGCCCCGTCTCCCTCCTGGCCTCCCTTTTGCATCCATGGGCATGGCAGCTGTGACAGGACAGGAAGGTGCCTGCCATGGAGGTGGGGCATCAGCAGCATGTCCTCTCCATGCCCCACCCCAGAGGCACTACTGGGGTAGCCAGTAGAGGGCCACATCCGCCAGTGGGGCTGCCCACGGGGTACCCTGCGCCCTCCCGAGCCCTGAGACTGCACACAGACTGGAGGCTCTGTTTTATTAGATGTATGGCTGTGCACAGTGCACTCACCACGTCTGCTCCCTCAACCCTCTTGGCCACAGCCGCTCACCCCCAGAACCTTCTGAGATGCTCCCCAAGTGCTGTCGGTGGGGGGGGGGCGCCCCTCAGCCCCTGAGGCCTCTGCGCTGGCCCCGCCGCAGCCACTGCTCACGTCTGGCTGCTTCCACCCACTCGCCGATGAGCCTGGCCTCAAACCTACGAGCCTCCCTGACGGATGCGGGGTCTTCTGGGTGAGATGCTCTAAGGAACAGGCAGGGGGGCTTCAGCTAGGCAGTGGGCCCCAGCCTCACTGCACCCCACAAGCAGCCGCTGGTCCTGCCCCACACAGCACTCCTCCAGGCAGTACCGCACCTGAGGTCCAGGTGATGGGCTCCCCCCTGGATGGTAATGGCAAGGACCGTCGCGCTCAGGTTACTCCGGATCTGTGGGAAGACATTCAGTCCACTGCCCCCCTCTGCCTGCCATTCCCTTGTCCGCCCTGCAGGGCTGGCCCACTGCAGAGGCAGAAACTCCCATGTGACTCCGTGGCCTGAGTGGCCTCCTTAGGACGGGAGGTTACAGGGCCACATGTCCGGTCACACTAATTAGGGGAAGGGGTGCAGGGTGGGGGGGGGGCGATTCAGCTCAGATTGAGACCTTGGGGCCATGAGCAGCATAGGGCTCTGGGCTCAGTGGGTGGTCTGCTCAGTCTCCCTCTCCCTCCACCCCTACCCAAAATGGAGGAAGAACCATTAAAGGGAGGAGGAAATGGGAGAAGGAAAGTGAAGGCCGCACAGAAGCTAGGTGTGGAGGCTGGCCGATAGCAGGGAGTGCCCCCTCACCTCCCCCACCCCCATGCACCAGGGCTTGCCCCACCCCTAGCCCTTGCCCCCCCTGCCAGGATGCCCCGGCCAGGCCTGGGGGCAGCCTCAGGCCATGACTCACCCCACCCCCTGCCCAGGGGTCCAGGTCCCCGTTGGAGAAGAGGATGTTGCTGGCAGCTCTGAGGTCTAAAAGGGACAGAGCGCAGGTGTGAGCGGTGAGTGGATTGCGGAGCAGAGTCCGGACGGAGGAAAGGATGCCGCCCCCTCAAGCCTCACCGTCCCCCCCGAAGCTGGTCTGCAGCCAGTCCCTCCGAGGCCACACGCCCCACGTGTCCAGGCAGTACTGCTGGCGGAGGGCCTCAGTGAACGGCAGCTCGGGGAAAATGTCTGTCACATTGTTGCTGGAAAAGGTCAGGTTGATCTCGGTGCAGGCCTGGGGGATGCACCGCACCTGGGTCAGGTCAGTGGGGTGGGCGACCCCATCCCGCACCTCGGACCCAGGCGGTCCTGGGCAGCAGGAACCCCCTTACCTGGTAATCCCAGGCCTTGGCATTGGGGCCTGAGCCGCAGCCCGTGGGGTCTGCACAGGCCTGGTACTGCAGGTAGATGTCATAGCAGGGCACGGTGCCCGAGGAGTTGTACACCAGACCTGGGGGACAGGGGTGTGGGACCTGCAGCCTGGACACCCGCCTTGCCCCCTCAGAGGGCTCCCGCATGCCCAGGGAGGAGTGGGGTTCCTGGGGTCTGGCCTCTGAGGGTAGCTAGGGGACCCACTTGACGTACCCCTCCCAGCAGGGCAGGCTGGCCTCCCTCCCTGGACCTCTGTGAGAACCTGTGGACAGAGACCCCCCAGGCCGGGCAGGGACTGCATGGGGCGTTGTTGCTGCTCGCCTCATGTGGGCCTTGCCTCCAAGCCCTGTCCACCCCCCACGTGGCACCAGGCTCATTGCTGAGGGCACACGCACCTGCCAGTGCTCTTAGCCCCTTGATGCTCTGGCTCTCACTCAGCAGCCGGTCACAACCGACCTAGGGATGCCACCAAAGACCCTCACTCAGCCTGCTGCCCCTCCCAGTGTGCCCTTCCCTGGTCCCAGGCCCCAAGTGGCTGTGAGGCTCTTGGGCTGCTCAGCACCGGCTGGCCCAGGGCCCTCCCCAGGTCCCAGCATCTCCTTATGCCCAGGGGTGGGTGTCTTGCCTTGACTGGGTTGGCAGGAAGGTGCGCGATGAAGTGGGTGGGGTACGGGTAGTCCATCATGGCCAGCACAGTGAAGGCGTTCCGGGCAAACCCAAAGAGCTGGGTCAGGTCCTTCCGGCTGGACAGGGACTGGCAGGTGCCAAACTCCCGGCTGACCACGTCACAGGCTGCCAGGAGACGGCGAGACAAATCTCCTGAGGCTGCTGGCAGGCATGGGGTGGGGGACTTGGGGGGGGAGAGGTGGTCGCAGGTGCCAGGGGGGCTCCTCACCTCCCTGAAAGCACAAGTCCTGGATCTGCTGGAATGCGTCCCGCACGCCCTGGGCACACTTGGGACTCTGGCCCTCAAAGTCCTGGGGAGAGGAGGGCAGTGGTGCCGCTGCTGCTCCCGCCGCTGCCGCAGCCTGACCAACCCCAGGCCCCAGGCCCCTAACTCACCGCTGAGACATCCCGGAAGAACTGATAGGAGTCACCGAGGCCGGCCACAGCCACCACAGGCGCACTGGCTGCGAGTGCCCCGGCCACGAGATGGGGGTACTTGATCCTCATGTAGGCGCTCAGCATCCCCCCGTAGCTGGGTGGGGACACAGGGTGGGTGGGGGGGACACAGCCTCCTTGGGACCCTTCCTCCCTGCTCAGAGCCCATGGTGCCCCCAGGAGGACCTTCTAGGTCCCACGGAAATCCTGGCCTTAGGGCCAAGTAAGCGTTTGTAGCTGCAGAGAGTGAGCTGGGCAAGGACCCACCTGCCACCAAAGGCAATGGCAGGGCTGTCCTGTGCCCCGAGGTCCCGCCGCAGCGCGTGGAGCAGCCCTGCGAAGTCGGCCAGGGCCTGTTCCACTGTCAGCAGCTCCGTGTACCCGCGCCGTGTGGACTGCTCCCCAAATGGGAGTGACTTGCCGTAGTAGCGCTGCAGGAGAGCAGCAGAGGGCTGAGCCCAGGACACCCACACCGTGGGCCCCTGACCCCCTCACCCCCCCCCCATGGTACCCACGTGCTCTGCGAAGATGACCAGGGCCTCTTGCTGCGCCGCCAGCTCCAGGATGAACCCCGAGTTGTTGGCGAAGGACCACACATTCCCCTCATTGCCCGTGTAGAAGAATATGGGCCCCTTGCCCCTTTTCCAGAACTTCTCTGTCCAGTGGAGGCAGGAAGCGGCAGGTTAGGGGCCGGGGCAGGACTCCAGGGTCCCGGGACCTCCAGTGCAACCTCACCTGACACCAGGAATCGCTGCAGGAAGGTCTTGTTGCCAAACCTCTCGAAGTTGAAATGGTCCAGAAGCTGCTCAAAGTAGCCCTCCCAAAAGTGGCTCTCCACAACCCTGTGGGCTGCAGGGGTGCATGCGGTGCTCAGCACAGGGGGCCCAAGCAGGCAGGGCGGGGGGTGGGGGCGACGCCTGTGGGCCCACACTCACCCCCGGTCTCCAGGCTGTGCAGCGCCAGCACCAGCAGCAGGGTCAGGGCCCTGGGCAGGGTTGGCCGGGCCTGGGCGCCCATCTCCGCTCGCGGCCGTGGGGTGCAGTCACATGATGGGCGGGCCACCCTCACGTGACAGTCTGGGCAGGGCCTTCCTTCCGGGCCCCAAGGTTCCTGCACCCACTGGGTCGCCACGGAGACTGTCGCCATAGGGACGGGGACGCAGGAAGCAGCAGTGGCTCCAAGTCCTGGTGCTGGGACTGGGAATGTGTGCGCGGCCACTTGCGCTGGCCCTCCGGGGCCCCTGCAGAGGCCCTTGCGCCTGGCCACATGGAGAGCCCAGGAGGCGGGACGGTCCCTGCTGCCCCCAGACTACTCCTTCTGCCATTAGGACCCCCAGACCCCTGCCAGCCTCCGGGCCACACAGCAGCGCCCCAGGCGGAGGGATCCCTTGAGCCCTAGTGGGGGGCTTGGGAAGATGGGGCAGCGGCGGGGGAGGGGCCTCGGACAGGAGGCCAGCAGCCTTATCCACACGACGGGAAGGGGCAGAGGCCTTGTGGCCACAGCAGTGGTGTGCCAGGGCAGTGGGGGGGGGGGTGCGCAGCGCAGGGTATGGCTGCTGAGACTCTGCGGTATGGCAGGGGGAGAGGCACCTGGCCATGGCCCCCTCTGCCTACTGCCATCACTGCCCCTCCATCAGATGTGCCCCAGGAGGAGCCACCTGTTCCCCAACATTCCAGGCCTGGGTTCAGGTGAGGGACCAGAGCAGCTGAGCCACCCCTGCCCCAGCTGCACAGAGAAGGGGAATTGCCTGTTCCCACCCCCGGACTATCCCCAGCAAAGCCTCCAGTGTCCCTGGGCACCCCCCCACCTGGTGTGGAACAGGCCCGGGCGGGGTCCTGCCCTCGCTGCAGCCTGGGAACCCAGGGCCCCAGGACGGAGCTGGGCTGAGGCGGGGAACTGGCCACAGGGGGCCCATGGCCACCCCGCACACTGTCCCAGGACGGTAACTGCGGCAACCAGCATGTGGACAATGACCGTCCATCATCTCACATCACCACATGGGTGTGGTCACCCCGTGGTCACCAAGTGCCACACCACAATCACTCCACAGTCCCTGCCCCCATCCCATGCCCTTGTGTCCCTCCCCTCCTGTCCCTCCTCCCATGTCCTCTTGTCAATGTCCTTATTCCTGTGTTCCTGTGTCCCCATCCCTGTGGCCCTGTGTCCCCACATCCCCCTGTCCCTCTGTCCCTGTGCCCCTGTGTCCTCGTCCCTGTGTCTCTGTCCCTGTGTCCCTGTGTCCCTCATGTCCCCGTGTCCCCATCCCTGTGTGCCCACCGTGTCCCCGTGTCTCTAGTCCTATCTGCCCTCCCTTGTGCCCCCGTCCCCGTCTCTGTGTCCCCGTCCCCTGTCCCAGTCCCTGTGTCCCCGTCCCCTGTCCCAGTCCCTGTGTCCCCATCCCCTGTCCCAGTCCCTGTGTCCCTGTGTCCCCCTGTCAGGTCCCTATGTGCTTACCTTCTTGTTCCCGTCCCTGTGTCCCCGTGTCGCCATCCTGTCTCTGTGTCCCCAAGCTCCCATGTCCCCGTCTCCCTGTGTCCCTGTTCCTGTGTCCTCGTACCCGCACCCAGGGCTGCCTGTCCTGTGTTGAGTAGAGCGCTGCCCTTGCAGGGTCTTCAGGGCCTGTGCAGGGTAGAGGCCAGGACAAGCCCTGAGGGCTCACAGCTCCTCCCCCACCCCGGGGGGACAGCCTCTCCTCCAGCTGCTCCTACTGTCCTCTCAGCTCAGGAGCCCTGACCCTGACAGCCCGAGCGCAGACGCACCATGTCCTCCTCTCCGAACCCTCCAGGCAGCTCCTCCGTGCGGGGGGCGGCCCGGGAAAGCCCAGAGAGGCGAATTTTGACTCCCTCTGCCCGTCCTGCCCACTGGGCAGCCCAGAACACGCGGGTACGTCTGGGCGTCCAGAAGCCACCCTCCAAGCTGCACAGGGGGCCAGTGACGTTGGGGCCACAGCTGGGTCCTGATCCCCCTCCACAGCCCACAGATTTGGGGAGCCAGCCCCTCCCAGCCACCTGCTCTGCCCCCTTAGCCCTCAGAGCTAGCTGCAAGGAACGGGGCGGGGCTGGGAGGCAGGAGACCCACGTGGGTGCGTGTGCTGTTTGGAAGTCGGCCCCATGAGCAAGTACGTGTGTCACACACACTATGACATGCCCTTCACCATTATCCAAGGTGCCTTTACTTGTCGCTAAGCGTTAGTTTTTTGTTGTTGCGTTTTAGAAATTAAAGAAAAATGTATCTAAATCCTTTATCAGATACGTAAGTTACATTTTCTCCCTTTCTGTGGGTGGTTTTTTCCATTGTTGATCTTGCCTTTGATGCACAGAAGTTTTTTTACTAAGTCCAACTAGTTTGGTGCTTGTATTGCTAAGAACCCACTGTCAGACCCAATGCTTGAAGATTTGACCCTGGGTTATTTCTCGGAGTTCTGTTTTTAGCTCTTTGAGTCATTGATCAATTTCTAGTTAATATTTTGTATGTAGTGTGAGTAGAGGTCCAACTTCATTCTGTGCATTTCAAAATCCACCTTTCCCATCATAATTTGCTGAAGACAAAGTTCTTTTTCTCCTTTGCAAAAACTCAGTTGCCACATATGTAGATTTCTGGACTCTCCCTTCACTTAAGCCAGCGTCACACAGTTCTGAATACTGCACCTTTGTAGTAAGTTTTTATATTGGGCAGTATGTGTCCTCCAACTTTGTTCTTTTTCAAGAATATTTTGGCTATTTGAGGCTTCTTGCAATTCCATATGAATCTGAGGATTGACTTTTCCATCTCAGCAAAAAAGGCTGTTGGAATTTTAAGAGGGGTTGCACTGAATTTGTAGATCATTTTGTCTAGTATTGACATCTTAAAATTAAGTATTCCTATCCATGAACAAAAGGTATCTTTCCACTTATTTAGGTCTCCTTTACTTTCTTTTAGCAGTGTTTTCTAGTTTTCACGGTTCAAGTACAGCACTTCCTTGGTTAAATTTATCCCTATTTATTATTTTAGGTGTTCCTTTTAGGGTTTTGTTTTTTTAGGTAAACTCTACACCCAACATGGGGCTCAAACTTATGACCCAGAGATCAAGAGTCGCATGCTCTGGGATCCCTGGGTGGCGCAGCGGTTTGGCGCCTGCCTTTGGCCCAGGGCGTGATCCTGGAGACCCGGGATCGAATCCCACATCGGGCTCCCGGTGCATGGAGCCTGCTTCTCCCTCTGCCTGTGTCTCTGCCTCTCTCTCTCTCTCTCTGTGTGTGACTATCATAAATAAATAAAAATTAAAAAAAAAAAGAGTCGCATGCTCTGACTAAACCAGCCAGGTGCCCCAGTTCCATGTTATTTTAAATAATATAAATTTATTTTTATTATTTAAAATAATTATTCTAATATTTTTTTATTTAAAATTTAAAACTGTTCACTGCAGGTATAGAGGTACGTAACATTTTGTTTTTTTTAATATATATATATATATATATATATATTTTTAAGTATTTATTTATTCATAGAGATGCAGAGAGAGAGAGAGGCAGAGGCAGAAGGAGAAGCAGGCTCCATGCGGAGACCCTGCCATGGGACTCAATCCCACAACTCCAGGATCATGCCCTGGGCTGCAGGTGGCGCTAAACCGCTGCGCCACCGGGGCTGCCCAGTACACAACATTTTTTTTTTTTTTTTTTAATTTTTATTTATTTATGATAGTCACAGAGAGAGAGAGAGAGGCAGAGACACAGGCAGAGGGAGAAGCAGGCTCCATGCACCGGGAGCCCGATGTGGGATTCGATCCCGGGTCTCCAGGATCGCGCCCTGGGCCAAAGGCAGGCGCCAAACCGCTGCGCCACCCAGGGATCCCAGTACACAACATTTTGATTGCTGACCTAGTGCCTTGCAATTTTCCTGAATTTATTAGCTCTAGTAGTGTTCTTATGAATCCTTCTGGATTTTTCTATACACAGGATCGTATCACAAGCAAATAGTTATACCCCTTCCTTTCCAATTCAAATGCCCCTTCTTTCTAGCAATGGTGAGAGCAGGTATCCTTTCAGCTTTGTCTTTCACTATCGAGTATGAGGTCGGCTGTGGGTTCTTCATAAATGTTCTTCATTGTGGTGAGGAAATCTTCTATCCACAGTTTCCTGAGTGTTTCTACTGTTGGCTTTTATCAATTGCAGTGATCATGTAGGTTTCCCATTTCACTCTACTAATACAGTCTACTTCATTGATTGTTCCTTTTTCCTCCGGAAGTCAGCCGTCATTCCATAAGCACGATGCCCCAGAGGTCCACACAAGTCGTTGTACCAACAGATCATCCCCATGTATTCTGTTGTATAGATTGTTAATTTCCTTATAATGAACCACTCTTGTTTGCATTCTCAGGTAAATTCCACTGATCCTGGTGTAAAATATTTTAAATATACTGTTGGATTTGGTTTATGAGTTTATTTGCTAAGATTTTTGCATCAATATTCATAAGGAATACGGGCTTATAGTCTTTTTATTAGTCTTTTTATTCAAATGCATCTGGTTTTCATGTCAAGGTAATATTGGCCTCTAGAATAAGTTACTGTTTCCCCTTCTCAATTTTCTGGGAGTTGGAGATAGATTGGTGTTAACTCTTTAAAATGATATTTTACAAGATTTTATTTATTCATGAGTGACAGAGAGAGAGAGGCAGAGACAAAGGCAGACTCCATGCAGGGAGCCCGATGTGGGCCAAAGGCAGGCGCTAAATCACTAAGCCACCCAGGGATCCCCTAAAATGATTTTTAAAAAAATGATTTTTAAAGTAATGTCTACCCCAGACGTGAGTCCCAAACTCACAGCTCCAAGATCAAGAGTTGCACGCTCCGCCAACTGAACCAACCAGGGGTTCAAACTCTTAAAATGTTTGGTAAAATTCACCAGTGAAGCCACCTGGTCCCTGCCTTTTGTTTGTTGGGAGGCTTCATTTCGTGATTTTTTAAAAACCTATTTGTTCAATCTGTTTGTTCTAAGTCTGTTGAAATTTCCTGTATGATCTAAAGCTAACTTAGGTAATTCTTGGATTTTAGGGAATTTGTCCATCTTAAAAAGATCATCAAATTTGTTGGTGTACAATTTTTTACAATATTCTCTTATAATCCTTTTTATTAATCTTTTTTTAAAATATTTTTTCTTTATTTATTTATGATAGTCCCAGAGAG